ACTTACTTACTTACTTACTTACTTACTTACTTACTTACTTACTTATTTATTTACTTACTTACTTACTTACTTATTACTATCTTTCTACCAATGTGCTGTCCGTGCCTCCTCTGAATATGTCCAAACACTCTCAATCTGTTCATTCTAGCATTATCTCACAATTTTTCATCAAAAATGAAGTTATTTGTAATAATGTGGAATGGCACAGGGAAAAAGTATTGAACACATGAAGAAAGGGAGGTGTAAAAAGGCATGGAAAGCCAAGACACCAGCTGAACTCTCTCACTAATTAGAAAGCAAGTCTGCCCCTTGTCAGTGCAAGTTAATATCAGCTGATCAGTAGATCTAACGGTTAGCCTAACCTGAAGGAAGAATTCTGCTTCTTTCTCCACACTCCATGGTCTGTGATTGATGTTGCAGATAAATAACTTGATAGCACTACCTCTGATGTACGTATTTCACAAAAACCGTTCATTTTCAGCTCTGGGTCGGGAAAGAAAACAATTCAGTTTGTACATAGGTTGCAGATATTCAAAAAGAATGCAGAAAAAAAGATGTTAAAGGTGAACAAACTATAGTTGACAAGATATCTGGGTAAAAGTATGATCCTCTAAAAACATGTTGACTGTATGTGACAGCTGACTGGRCCTGCTGCTGCCAATAAGTAAAAGCAGCTGTTTGTAATAAAGAACATCTGCCACCTTTAGGTTATTTCAACCCAACGACAGCACTGAACTAATTTAACTTCTCAAAGACCAAATGTGTGAAAAAGTTACTTTTTAATTATCTTGAGTTATTTTGTCATATCTAGCAGCTTAGTTCACCTGTTTTTGTTCTCTCTTTTATTTTATGGAATTTTAACTTCATTAATCCGGAGGCAATGAACAACATGAAAATAAGAGCTGAAAAGCCACCAATAACTGAGTTAGCAAGAAAAGTTTGACTGTTTTATTTCAAAAACTGGATGAAGAACACAACAGTTAAGACAATCAAACAACAGAACTACTGTTTGTACATTTTAAACTTTATGAACAAAATGGGTTTATGTGCTACAAGAAAATGTGCTGCAAAAAAAATGAAAACTGGTTTTAAAACAAGCTGTTTGATTGCAATGAAAAACATAATGTGAAATAAATGCTGGGTTTAAGACAGACGTTCGAGGTGACAGTTCTGTAAATGTGACCTGTCTCGTTTTGTCATTTTAAGTTTATTTTAAAATAGGAATGGTCCTCTTTAAGATGAACAAAGATCACAGGGGTGATCAGTCTGACGCCAGCAAAAGGGAACACAGTTGTACAGGAAAAGCTTTGAAGAAAGGTCACAGTGGTTCAACAGATCCGCCGTTTTCACAGAAACCTGCAATGCAACAAAGAACAGTTTGATCACTACAAACAGCACATTGTATTGTATTTTTTGTCAATTTTGCAAACTACTTTATCTAACTAGAACTGCAGCTGAAATCGGTTTCAATCGTTACTGATAAAGGTCTCTTTGAATAAGCGCGTGTCTCATCGATCAATACAATGATCAGAAAGCTTTACACAACCTAACTCGGTTATTCACTAACCTGCTCTTTCACCTTATGAGACAYGAGGCCCCGTAAGTAACAAAATGTCCCGACTCAATAATCAAAGATCAGCGAAAACCAACGAACATGTAGAAGAACTCAACCCACCAGTGTGTGCGACCCGTCTGTATTTTCCCAAAAGACAAATTTCCATCTTCTTTTGCGTGACGATGGCGTGGTCCTCTGCCCTCAGGCCCTCTGGGTGGCGGGAGAATATGAAGGAGTAACTGTCCAAGCAAGTGCCGTCGGCGTCCTCTAGCCTGCAGGAGTAGTGGACGGCGTAGTTGTCGTAGTCGGTGTCGATAACCCAGTGTTCGTCATCTGAAAGCAGAGAGATTTATACTTATAACCAAATAAACTTAAACAAGACGCATCAAAATCAAACAGGCTGGAAAGTAAAACTCTTGGGAATCAAAATGTACTCTTCAAATTACACAATCACTCGGGCTACAATGAGTTAATTTAACTGTACGAGAAATTATCTGATTTCATTCGCCAGGGTCACAAAGTAAACAGAGTTGAGGACAACGTTCAAAGAACAGTAAGTTTCAGGTCAACAAGTGACGTCACTGACTCCTGACTGTCGGGTACATCGCCCGGTTGTTTAATTAAAGCTYCCTTACTTCCAGTCTGCAGGTATGAAGCAGCTCCCCAGTAAGTCATTTTAAACTTGGCAGGTTCAGGAGTTTCCTCAAAGGTAGCAAACATGTGGGCACACATCTCCCAGTTACTAAGGGTCAAAGAATGACAAGAAGACACACACACACACACACACACAGAGAAAAACACACCTCACTGATTAATGTGCAGAGAATAGCCTTGTTGTAAATTTAAATTGAAGGCGAGATGAGCCTCTTTAAAGCCTCCAGGGCACAGAGAGAAACCTACTTAAGGATGATGACTCTGCCTTTAGCTGTCGCCGTCATTTTGCCTTCGTCGTCAACGACAAACTGGGCCACAACGTTGTCGAGCAAGAACAAACCTTCTGGGTCCTTCTTTCCTGCAGCATACCAGGTCCCTGCATACTATGAGAAGGAGGTTCATGTGTAAGCCAATAAATACCTGTTCCAAGTTAATTATGAAGGACAAACTATTTAAAAGTAAGTTAGAGGTGCAGAAATTGCTTTGAGGATGTGGATAGGTGTAGTGTCTACGAGATTTTGAAGACAAGACGACAAAATGGAGAAAAATAGTTTTGTTTCGTAGTTTCAACTCACCCTGGATTTGGTAAAATTCTGCATGACCTGGATGTTAGCGACCTGGCAATCCTGAGCCAAGGACAGCGCCAAAAGGCAGAGAGCCACAGCGTATCGTAGCATTCTATCACAGAAGACGACAAAATGAATCCAAATGAAAGCTGAATGAGTGAGAGAAAGAAAAAAGGCAGGTTTAAAGGAGAAAGGAATAACAGGGAACAAATCRAATTTTGTTTCAAGTCAAGAAAAGCAAAGTTTGATAGAAATCCTTTGAATGTCTCCAAAGAGTTGAGTTAAAATTTAAACGAATCATCAGAATCCTTTATCAGAGCATACCTTAAAAAAATAATTTGCCACCTTTTATAGAAATCCTCACTTTCCCCTCTGGTTCAGCTCTTATATACTGACTAGCTTTGCATAACCACACGTGGAGGCAGGAGGGGGATCTAAACCTTCTCTGCTCACCCCCTACAGTTAGCCTGCGTTACATTGGACAAATTTTTTTTTTTTTTTTTTGCTTTCTCCAGTCTGTTGGATTTGTCTGGTTCAGCCCTCCCCCCCCAAATCACCAATAAAATGAGTTTTCACATGTAACACTGAGGCATCCTCTGACTTAAATAAACAACAACCAGCAAGGCCAAGAGGACAATCTGTCCACATGCTCCGCACACACTCTGATTTACCAAGTAGCGGCGTTGTGTACTTTTTTTTTTTTGTAAAGACTTTTGGGGGGAACTTTAGAGCTCTTACTTCAGTGAGTGGCCCCACACAAAACTACAAAGTAAAAAAGTAAAGATTTTGGGGTGTATGAATTGAATTTTCTGTTTTGGGGGAAAAGAGAAGAAAATGAACTCTTTTGGCACTTTTTCTTGTATTTGTTGAACAAACATTTCATGAGTTACGAGTGCCTCCACGCTATTTGTGTAAAACAAGGACAGAGTCCACTCTCTTTTGATGCAATCTCACACATCTAACTTCTATTTCCCTTTAAAAGAGTTATTTTACACATTTTAGGGTCAAACAGCTTCTCGTTGTGTTTTGATTCGGATTTAGCTTCAGTTCTGGAGTGTTTTGCTATTAAAGGGACAGTCTGGTAATTATTGAAGTGATATGTTTTATTCAACATCACTGTTGCCAACTCCTCAGTGAGGATAGTAGTTATTGGCTGTCGTAAAAGTTGCTGTGTTATGTYATCACCTAATTTTAATAATTGGTCATTCATTTGCATGTAAATGTAATGAACACTGTAAGGGAGGAGTTACCATGGGAGAGACAAAAAGTGAGGGAAATGCACCATAAAAGCTGTATGTTTGGAAATACAAGTTATCTTTCTTCTATTATAATCCTCAGTTCTTTTTAATGTTACAATTCTAACTATTCTTGTGGTTGTTGTTTTTTTTTTTTTTTTTTTTTTTTTTGGGCTGCTCTCTTCTGAACTCGAATGAAAGATTTGGCAAATGTTTTATACTGGATGCACTTCCTGGCTCGAACCTGCAGCTTCGAGATTACACTGACCGCTTTATTTTAGACCAGGGGTGGACAATCCTGGTCCTCGAGGGCCGCAGCCCAGCAGGTTTTATGATTTTCCCTGCTCCAACACACCTGATTCAGACATTGAATTACCAAGTTCTGCAGAATGGAGAACTGACACTGACATACCTGTAACTAGAAAAAAAGTAGAAACATATGTTGCAGCTTGAAGACATCAGTCGACGAATGGAGTAGTTTTTATCCAAACATTTATTTTCTTTTAGCTCACATAAAATATAAACTGGCTCCACACACTCACGGTGCTTCTGCTGCGGTCAGAGTCCGGGTGTAAAGTAACGTTCAAGAGACGCCCGTTTCAGAACCTTTCCACATGGTGCATTCAGT